CAAATCAAAGGTACTGTACAAGCACAATAATTTATAATACTTGAATATTGATATTAGRTATATGTCACGCAACTATTTTTACAAAGTTATACTTGGGTTAGTTTGATTCTTCAAAATATAATACATTATATACCTAGTATACCTATTATTATACCTACCACATGGGTGCACACACTGTATATTATAATACTTATATAGATAGTATAAATCTATATTATAAAYACAATTAAATCGAATTATAYCCACACGCTGTAGTAGTTTTTTTTTWAAATTATTTATATTTCTACAGGTAAACGTGAAACAATAAGTAATATTGATGTGTCTATTATTAATGTGCCACTTACATTCCTGCCTTGATAATCTTCGGGAATCAGTTTCGGGCAATGCGTTTTGTTGGCCCAGAGACTACAATAGTACAATTTCGTTAGAACTTTGTCGGGTTCCATAATACTTCATARTAAGTATACGGATTCTAAATCTTTTATCGGAGTTGAATACGGAGACGAGAAAAGTGTTGCTGCAGGTATAATAACGTTGATTCGAAATACTGTTGACAACGACAGTTGTCGTAAGGAATAAGAATGGTCGATGGCCACTTATGGCCAATGGGAAATCTCACTGTTATCCAATCACCACGAGTATGCCAAAACAATCTGATATGGGCCGTAGTATCTAGTTCCTGGACACGAACGCATTCGTGGAAAGGATCTTCAAAGAACCGTTTATCAGTGATAGGTTACCAATGCGATTCGACCATGGTATAAATACCGCAACCTAGGTGCAGACAATCTACCATATTATTRTTTACGGTATACTCGTGCTCCAGACGAGCTGGTAGTTGCGATGATTTTCTATTTTCTGTAGCCTATTATAAAACGGTCGACATATCATGTTCTCTTTGTCCGCCTCACCGCTGTCAGATTTGAGGCCGCGCACTATTTTCRAGCGTTTTTTATTTTCGTTTTTCGTGTCCATGAATGCGTTYAGAACCAAACGGGCAAAAATCTCTTCCAGCCCGTCGAAGCACGTACTTAACAACAAATTCGGGCTTCAACGTTTCTCGAATATTACACTCCAGATGTGTTAAAATTATGATTARCATAACACATTCATTAGGTGCTATAATTCAGTAACACGGTTCARTACTTAAAAATCACCAAAATCGTGTTATCTAGCAGTATGCCACTGTGATTATAACCCTGTGTAATGTTCAGACATCTCAATACTAGCCACTCTGGCCAACCATCAAGGTAAGATACTCATCAATGTTAACTATATAACATTATTTATTTATCTATAATACATTTCAAAAMATTTTATTTATAAATATGTGATAATTGTGTTAAAATATCTAACGATCCGTAATAATTCGATATAATATATACACATATAAACTATATATGATAAAGTTTGAGAATTCCAAGAAATCTTTGATAAATTAATTATGTATAACAACGCGTTGTACGACGGTTTTTAGTAAAACTGTAATAGTTTTACAATCAAATGTTTAACGCCTATAGAATGGTATAAAATAATATACAAAATATTAGACATCGTGCATTATTATCTTCGGTTCGTTTATAAGCCGGCAACATAAACTCCACTTTGGTTTAATACTACTGCGCAAGTGTGTCTGTTATTACTGTACCATTTGGTATGAAGATCAACCGATCGAACATTGTCGGTGTTCTGACGAACATCAAACGATGCGTTATAGATTATTGTTGGCGARTGTCTGTGACACTCATAAATAGGTGCACAGCAAATACATACATATTTTATATTACATTTATAATAAATTATTAATTATCATATACTCATATTAAATCCAAAATCCTATTAAATACTTGGGATCATAATATTATGACTATGAGTTTCACAGCTTATGGTTTTTAGTAAAAATTACAAAATAATATAATTGTGTTTATGCTTAAGCAATGAGATGCTGTAGGTACTCACGGGTAGTTTAAAATATTATAATTTTGAGCTCACGTGTTCAGTGTTATGAATGCACTCAATGCCGCTGAATAGAAGTGATTCCTGGAAACCTATTCTCAAAATTGATCAACACTTCTATTGAATATTTATTTTTAATTGATCCAATCGGGTCCTATATGTATACGGCCTATACCCACGATTACGACGGTTCACGGCGACGACGGTTACCTGCGGTTTCCGTGTTGGTCGAACTCAAGGTCCTTGTCATCTTCGTTAGCTACTGTCATCGTCATTGTGAAAACTGCGACATTTGAAAAAATATTTTTGGGTCAAGGGCACTTTTCTCCTTAAAAAAACTCACACTTGTCTTGGTATGTCTCTAAGGGCCGGACTGGGCTACTGTGTTACTATTCTACAGCACAGTGGGCCGCAAACTATGGTTATGTAAAAAAAATTTATAAATCACAGATACAAGTAGGTACAACAATTATTTCATTTTTAATGTATTTTGGTGTTTTGGTAAAAAAAGTTAAAAACATATTTTTTTATTCAATGATGCCCAAGAAAATAAAAATGAAGGTAGCGATTTTATAGAGTTCGTTTTTCTGAAATACCTACTGACGTTTCAACATTTTATTTTCATCGAGTTCCTGATTTTTAATATTTTTTTAGTATCAATTATAAAATTTGATTTGTCATACACTCATACTGCTATTTAGTGTTACTGGTTTATACCTATATGTATTAATATATTTTATATTTTCTTTGTAATCAACATAGAAAAAAATCATAAATTCTATCTTTATAACATTTGGGTGAATTTAAAAATATTTTCGAACAAAATGTAATATTTTGTTAGTTTAAGTTGGGCCGTTAAATTTAGAAAAGTGGGCCGAAACCCTTCCAGTCCAGCCCTGCGTCTCAGATACCTGAGATACCACACTCCGAAATATGATCGTACATTTCAAAAAATCACATCTCACCTGGAAAATACTGATTCAACGCTGAAGCGTTAAATGATTGATTATCGTAATTTATCTTCATGGAATAAAATCAGTGTTATCTTTGTGCCCGTCGTTTAAAAACTAATTCTAACATATTTTATATATTTTGTTTCTTCAATCTATTGTTTTTTTTTTTATTATTATTATAAACATAATAWAGTGATAAACCTTTGAATTGTTTTTAGTATTTAAGATCAATAAATCACCATAATGGCATATTATACCATGCTTAATTTAAAAATGTGTCTGTATCTCGACTAATAATAATGGTTTGGGCAATACAATATTTGCTTGGACATTTTTTCATCAATAACATAACTACCTACGTAGTTTATACTTTTTCGTTAAAATCGCCTACCGATGTGTATTCAAAAAGTAGTAACATAATCTAATTTAAATATAAACAATTTTTCTTGATATTATAAAGGGGTGTGTAAAAATTGTTGAGCTTTTTTTACTTCCAGAAACAAAGGGATTACAGCATACTAACAAAACATTATTTTAAATTAAAAATTCATTTTAAAAATACGTTATTATTGCAAAGTTTAAAACAAATATTATACTTTTATTATTTATATCAAAACACATTATTAATAAAGCTTACCTTTTAATTTTGTTTTAACTTAACTTTTAGATTCTTATGAACAAATACTTTACTGTCAATATAAAATAGTTTTTTTTAGAGATAAGGAAAATAATAATAAAGTAGCCATATTTTTAATACATTTTTTTATTGGAATATTTTTGTCAACCTCAAAAAAAAATTATTTTACAATTTATGTATATAAATTTTTATACACATAATATATAAGACCGTCGGAAAATGTGTTGTACAACAAACTTAATAGTCACGTTATAATATATACATTTATTATTATTTTCCTTATCTCTAAAAAAAAATTATTTTACAATTTATGTATATAAATTTTTATACACATAATATATAAGACCGTCGGAAAATGTGTTGTACAACAAACTTAATAGTCACGTTATAATATATACATTTATTATATTATATTATAACATTTTAACTAATAATTTAAAGGCTTATTTTTATTTATTTTTAAATTTTTTCCATGTTTGTTTTTATACAGTTCGTAAATTAAAATAGTTCAACAAAAACAAAAAAAATATTTGTTAGCCTTAAGTACCGAACCATCACAACGATAAAAAAAATTACATAATTTGTTTAAAAGCGGAACAACGAAATTTAATACAAATTGAGCATTAAACGAAATAAAAATTATATAATAATAATTAAAAAAATTAACGTTTTAAAATTAATTAGTTACAAAAAAAAAATTACAAACTTATTTAAAATAAAATTTACGTATCCTATAAAATTAAGTTTTAGGTTAGGAATTTGTTAATTACCTTCGTGACTCGTTGACTATACTATTACAAATGGTAACAATCACAAAAGAAATGTAAAACAATGCTTCAGTAAGGTTTTCAAAAAACAATATACGTTGTCTACAATTTACTGAGATCCATACGGCTGACCTCTGTGTCCCTAACTCTCTCCATGAAATATAAACATAAATAATAATGATAATGAAAATAAAGAGACAAAATATTAAATACCTCTAACATTTATAACTGCATTATTATTTAATATTTTTTCGATATTATTTTACTGCCCAATATCCGTTAGTTGTTTATGTATTTTACGATAATTATTATTAATTATGTACACATCAGTCTTGGGTACAGACAATTCACTTTGACGAAAAGATGATGAAAAAAAAAAATAGAATATAAATTAACAATAGCTGTTCTCCTTATCTCCGTTACTCACTCAAAAATATTTACACGCGTTACACGGATATGGGCAATAAAATCGCACGTATACACTCGGTCCATAACTTAACACCAAAACTTAATTAAATAAAATATAAGGGAGGTACAAATTTAAAAAAAAAACTAATCAAAGGATTGGATCGAGACGACGATTGAGACACATACACGTTGACATTGGACAAAAAAACGTATAAAAACACATTTATAATAATAATAATAATAATAATAATAATAATTATAATAATAATAATGATAATAATAATAATAATAATATTGATAATAATAATTATAATAATACAAATAATAATAATAATAATAATAATAATAAACGGCGTATATCGGCGAGAAAATTGTGGCGGTCGTCGACAGTTCGCTGTTGCGTGCGTCATCACAGTTGGCTCGTGTCGCAAGGTAGATATTATACATAATTTAATATATACATACATAATATCTACAGCCAGTACACCTAACGTCCTAACCTGATATAAATGTATGCGTATTTCAATATATATTTAATCTAATCACATTCGACACAGGCGACAACGACGATGATATTAATATATAATATTACAAGGAATACCGTGCGGGCGTTTCATAAATATTATTATCAATACGGTTTTCCGCGTACCGATACACATATAATAATAGTATTATTATGACATTATGCATAATATTGAACTATACAAAAATACAGATATTACGACATATGGTACGTCCCCGGGAATCGCGGCAACGTGCCAATGTGGGTACAATTATTATGATAATATAAACGTAGTGGGTACGACGATGCCAGCCGCTTATCACCCACTACTACTGCACCTTATCCTTCATGCCATGCAACAGATGTTCGGACATGATGGACGACGGACTCGGCTGGTGTGAGTAGTTGCGTATGTGGTGCAGCGAGATCAGCTGGTTGGGGAACCCGTTGGGCACGGACCCGACGGACGGCGGCTTCATGTCCATGGGCCCGGCCATCGGCGACAGTTGGTGGCCGTGCGCGCCCAGCTGCTTGGCGCCCGAGAACGACAAGTGGTTGTACGGCATGTACATGGTCTGCTGGTGGTGCTGCTGATGGTGCGGGTGGTGCGGATGGTGYGATGGTGGCGGCGGTGGGTGCGTCGGCAGTCCGAACGACTGGATGGGCGTGAACGCGGACGTACTCGTCTTGGGCACGGACGAAGTGTCCGACAGGTACTCTGGCGGAGCGGGGGGTAGGTGGGCGCCGTGCCTGTTGGACGGCTGATCGTCGGCGGACACAGACGCTGCGGTGCTAGACGGTCCACCGGCGTTCAAGTCGCCGGCGGTTGCGACACCGCCGCCGCCGTTGGAACCACCGCTACCGCCTCCTCCTTGCATGCATTCTTGCTGCTGCTGTTGCTGGTTGATGGCTTCCACCAAGTTGTTGGCCGTATCTGGCGACATCTTTCCCCAGTACGCGCCGTTCTCCAGGGCCACTCGCGGTATGCCGATGATCGGYGGCCGCTTGTCCATCCGCTCGGCGTGCTTCTGCATGTGCTTGGACAGGTACGTTTCTTGCGTGTACGACTTGCCACAGTACTGGCATATGTGCGTTTTGAGGTGTTTGGACTCCTTGTGCTTGGGTATGTGCTCGAGCAGTGACTGCTCGTCCTGGAAGCACTTATAGCACGAGTTACACTTGAACGGCTTGTCCGTCTGGTGGCACCGGGAGTGCGACTGCAGGTTGCTGAGCTGCGAAAATGCCTTGGTGCATCCCGGGTGCCTGCACTTGTACGGCTTGTCGCCGGTATGTGTGCGTATGTGCTGCTGCAGGTGGCTGAGCTGCGTGAACCTCCGCTGGCAGATGTCACATCGGTACGGTTTGATGCCCAGATGGATGCGCGTGTGCTGACTCAGGTACGAACTGTTGGCGAATGTTTTGTTGCACTGATGACATTTGTACGGTTTCACGTCTTTGACGTGTAGCTGGGAGTGCAATTGCAATTCCGACTTGGACGCAAATATCTGCTGAAGAAATAAAAGAAAAAAATGTCCATTAATAACAGTGATGAATGTATTATTTTGTTACCACCAACACAAGTATAGCCTAAAGGCGGTAAATCATGTTTATTGTAATTTGTTTAAATTTTATGATAAGTACTTTTCAATGAGAAAAATTAAAATATATATATATATATATATATATAAGTATATGTTATTCTGTAATAATATAATAGGTCTTTAGTATTTATATTATAATATTATCAAGTCCGGGACAAGTTGTAACTATAGTAGCAATGTTAAACTGATTGAGGCCAATCAAGTACATAATTAACATTTAAATTTACAGAACCCATTCCTTCTCTTTTAAAATTATAATTACCCATTTATTTAAATAGTGGTCTTGTTGTATACTWATAATTGTATACATGATTAAATATAGAAATTATTTAGTCGATAAAGAATAACAAAAATGAATTAAAATCGAATAGTTGTACAACATAATATTATTACATAATAGTAAAAACAAATATTATTTTTTTAGTAAATTCAGAAATAATGTTGGAGATATTTGTATTTAAATCCGAAGACAGTTTGTTGTCTTGTTTACTCTTCTTTATTCATTAGCCCAGCGTGTGCGTTATGATACACCTTATGATATATAGTATGATATTGTTTCGTATTCCGATCCTAATTATTATAAATATTATGTATAAAATTAAAATTATTATATAAATTACCAGTGTCAGTGCGTTATACCGGTTACCGCAAATGCACAGGTTAGCCACCACACCAACACAACTTTTTAATACTACCTGTAGCCGTGGGCGTTTATTCGTATACCTACCTAATATTATATTATTATACTGGTTTGTGTTTCCACCCCTCTCCGGACCAGACACAATACGCGACGGGTTATGTCGGGCAAGTGTCCAAAAAAAAGCCGTCGTCGTCGCGGTGCTCGCATCGAAAATAAATAAATTTATATATACGTGTAYTCAATGGGATAGAATATACACAACTAAGGTCAAGGCGTCCGAATATAGACTACACGGGCCTCGAAAGATTTTCGGTTAGAGGTCTATTGGATTGGGTCCAAAGCGCGTAAAAGGGACTAGCACATACGTCATCGCGTCCAAAAATGTCACACGTACACTACACGTAGGGCGATAAAAATTCCACAACAATCACAACCCGTTTATATTATTCGTTGTGTTAGGACTAGGTCCCGTAGAGACGTTCCTAAYAGGGGGTTGTATGATACAAGTGTTTACACACACACACACATACACTACATAGGTCATAAATAATCGCATCCGCATGTTACCTACTATTATAGCTTCGAAACGACGTCCAGTATATTTTCTTGTCAATAGACATCTGACGAAAACAACGGTCGTAAGGTTTAAGCTATAAATCATTACTATCGTATTCGGATAACATCAAAAAAGGACTATCAAAATCTATGAAATCCCATCACACAATATACCAGCCGGTGTTCAACCTTTTTCTATCCGCGCGTGTCACCTACAAAGTTTAAAAATTGTCATGCACCATTTTACTAAAAAAACGATATGTTTTTGCTTATCAAACTTTATAACTGATTTCCAGTTTTGACTAAATAACGCCATCTCGAACCGATAAAATAGGTACCTATTTTTTAAATAATAATTTGCATATTATATGTCATGTTGGCTCGAGGACAGTCACGTAATAATCATAATGTAAAACCACTGGCGGCGTTATTGATTTAATAAAAATATATATCGTGTGATATTAAAATAAAATCCAACTATTTTACTACATTATAATTTACGACGTCTATGACAATGATTATTACTCACTACTGCCGAGGATACCGATATATACCTATAACCGTGGTGTTCTACGCGAAGTTATTGCTGTTTTATTTATATTATTCCCATTACCTTTATGTATCAGTAGGAGCGTGATAAATTACATTAATACGTATTGATATTAATACCGACAAAACGAAAACGATTCCGGGTCATATCGTGACCCACTGGTGTGTAACATATGAGCACCTACGTCGTTCGAGACCAAGGCCGATCGCTCGACGTCGATGAAAATATAATAATAATACATAAGACCGCGTATGTACTGCTGTTATCATCCGACGACGACGACGGCGACAGTGAAACGCGTTATCACGGGAACCGGCRCGACCTTGGCCGGAACGTACAATTCAAGGTCGTCCGAATCTGTGTGCATGTGAAATAGTGAAAAATCTTTCAAAATAGGTAACGTAAAACGTTTGTATGTATGCGCGAGTATAGTACCCATATTATACGTTTTGAATATAATTATAATGACGAGAAAAAATCGAAATCTCRACAAAGAAACGGATCGCCGACGACCGTGTCTAACATGGCGGTGTAAAACACACACACGCGGGTAGCTCAGCCGCCACCGCCGATGATTATCTCCGCACCCGCCGCCGCGGCCGTCCGTCGGATTTATTCGCTTGTCTGTCCGTTTTCTTTTTTTCGTTTTTTTTTTTTCGGGGGTCCGAGAGAGGCGCACACACACACACACACACACCATAAACACAATCGTCGACGGGTCGAGTGTGGACCGGTTTCGGCGCAGTACACACGCGAGACGCGTACACCATAATAATATTATATTATATATACCTCTATACGTAATATCGTATAACTATATGGAAGAGGGTCCTGCTCGGCCGATTAGTGTGTGAGTGTGTCTGTGTGGCTATGCGTCTGTGAGTGCGAGAGCGACAATGCACACACACGTGCATTTTTTTAAAAAAAAAACGTGCGCCCGACGACGCGTTAGGGTTAAAAGAGAGACTGGTGCGTGCGACTAAAAAACCGGGTTTTCAGCTGCTGTTACTGCCGCTGCTGTTGCAGCCATCGATCTTGGTGGACGCGATAAACATCGATGGCCAAGTGCAGTGTACATTATAATAATACGTAGGTAAAAAGAGTTTATTTTTCGAAAAACCGATCGTCTTTTATGATAATGACAATATTACACTGAGATAGATAACATTATAAACAGTATATTATTATTTTTAATATTATTATCCATCGCAGTGCGATAAAAGTAATATATATTGTTCGGCCTAGCTACATTATTATGTTACGATATACCCATACAGCGTGTTTGTACTTTTCAAACATAACTCGAACTAAAGTCACAGCACACGTCCGTTGCGGTCGACGAAAAATTAATAATATTATAATATTGTTCCGTTCCGGAATCACTCTCATTAAGTCCACGTGCGCGTTCTCCGGCGCACGCGTCCGTTAATTAGCAATTAATTTACACGGGCAAAAACAAGACGGTGACCGTGGCGATCGTACCTATTACATAATACATGACATACTGGCATGGGGCCTCGACAACTTTGGTTCTGAAATCAGTGGGATCTTATACAAGAAAACGTTTTCATTTAAGACGATCAGACTTCTGCAGAAATAACTCATGATCGTGTTGCACTAGTTTCTTTCAAATATATTATTTGGTGATTATTATACCCTAGAACTATACGCTACATTATGCATTTATACGATAAATACACATTATACCATTTTGATAAAATGACCTTTATATTATGATAATAATATGCATGGCACAGCGCAGGGATAGTCGAATATTGCAATTATTATTATTACATATACGATAAATAGACGAAAGCACTTGGATTAAAAACAGGTTTGAAAACGTCGGTACTAGTTGTCGATTTAACGATTCTCGATAGATACAATTTAGATTTTTGTTTTCAGTTCCTATGTAGGTAATAATTATAACACTACAAAAACCATTAATCGATTAATCTCATGAATAACATACATATTATTAGTATTTTTGTACGCATAGTCAATAAATCATCGTTAAGTTTAAGGAATGCTTTGAAACGAACAACAAAAACTTTTATTTTTGACAAAAATATTTTGTAACTTAAATTATTTTCAGTCTTAAGCCTGCATGCAAGTTCGAATGGTTAGGAAATATCAGTCTAAAATATAAGTACGGTTAAACAATATAGTAACCAACCACAATAGTTTCAAGCAAATTTGGAAAACCAGCGCACAAATCATATGTGCATACAAACATTTTTGTATTAAAGTATTTAAAATTATGTAAAACGCATTGTGTGATACAGTGATGGCTACAAYACAGTGTATAGCTAACCAGTTGTTATTCAATACGAAAGAATTAAAAAACGAAATCGTAATAAAAAATAAAAAAGTGTCGTTGAATTTTGTAACGGGTTCGGTGTTTGCTTTTTTTCGTAAATCAGTCGCCGCAGGAAATATAAGAGACGAATCATCGTGACTTTCTATCGAAACGAATCAAATGTACCGCCATGAAGTCGCCAATCAACGTCCCACACATTGCTACAGCTATTGCCCTGCGACGTGATGAATGATATTATAATATTATAATATTAGTTTGGTCACTTGAATTTTGTGTGAATTCGAAAGGGAAAACTCGTTTAAGAAAAAAAATATTTTAAGCCATCCGACAAAGAGGTCGCCATTGCCGTCGTCTCCATTATTTATATATATACCCTACTCGTATACTTGCAGACCGCTTTTCGCATAATGTTATACATATCGTTTATTCGKAACGTAATGTGTTTATGATATTTGCGCATTTTGCCATTCGAGGAACAAAGAAAAAAAAATCGCATTTCAAACAAAATTATGTAATTTTTTCAAAATTCTAGATCAAAATCGCATATTTTAAATTTATAAACACCTATAACWCCAATAATGTCYACGGTTATATACATATATGTTGATTGTGTACAAAATATCGTGAACGCTGCTAGCAAACGTAATATCATAACATACTTTATACATTTAAAACAAAAATAGCCGTTTTCGCAAAAAACCGTTTTCGAACACAGTATTCGCCGACTCTATTACGAGTCACGYGGTCGTCGTGGCCGTCGTGTTGCAACGGAAACAAACAGTCGAGAACACAAGTGAACGGCCAGACGCGGCGCTTAATGTACAATATAAAAAATATTGTACGACTTGATTACGCTGCGGCCGATCAGACGACGGGGCGCTTAATATTCCATCGCAGAATATTGATATAATCGGCGCATACGTATTATAATACACAAATCGAGCGCGATTCGACGGGAAAAAGGATTCAATGAATTAATATTGAAATGACGATCGTCTGCGGTGCGGAAAAACGACATACAAAATATTATTATGATAGGTAGTAATTATTATTGTATTTTACACACGCGTATAAATAATAATAGTTCACCGCCGCCGTCGGATTATCTGCTCAGTCTCGCGAATCCGTTAAGACGGGCTAGAAATTCGCCAGGCTAAACCGATTTAAGATTATACCATAATTATCCCGCACATGTATATGGTGTGGTCTAAAAAACATCCCGGTGCGGTTTTTCACACCRGTTTAGTATAGCGAATTTCCWCGGAAATTCATAAAGAGTCGCACGTCCGTTCACTCTAGTTGTRTAATATTATAGTCATCCCCGTCGGAAGTATACAGAGGGGTTGAAGTAGCGCGGACTGTGGCGAGCGTACGACGACTGTCTAGCGCGTCTGTACCACGTTTTCAATACAAATACGTTTATTAGGCGGCGACGGCGGCGCGCGCAGTGATGTCATGTCCAAGGTCGGTCGCGCGCCGTATAAAATAGATACGCCGCCGACACGCTCGTCGTCGTCACCGAACGCCTAACCGCCGCCGTGGAATAGTATAMTATGACATGGTAATGAACTTAATGAGTATAATAACTAATAAGTAATAATATTATAATTAATATTGGTACACGCACGATCTAACGTTATTATAACATCGTAGTTATAAGACATTGCCAAAGCTACAACAAGCTCATTTCGTGTTCATGTGTAGTTATACAACTATACCTGTATAGTAATTTATGATATATAGTGRTCTACTCCAATCGTGGTTTAACAAACCGTACGATGGTCGATTACAAACGATATAAAATCAAATGATCCGGAACTGTTGAGTAAACAATTATTTTTTCCAATAAAACCTACGAAAATATCGGACAACGTAGATAGTGACGCCCGAAGTCTGCAGCTGCTGTGCGACATTTGAACAGTTGACGAAATGGTAAATCGTTGTACGGACTCTATACAAAACACGCGAAAGTCCCGTGGTCAAAACGTGCCAAACTTTACTGCCAGATAAAAGGAAAACAAATCGTATGGCAATCGCGCTGTACGGACGCAGTACGTTTAAAAAAACATAAACGCATAAGCCCTCCACTCTGCAGGTTCGACTGCGACGACGAGAACACGGGAGGTAGGGGACGGCTGTACGAAACGAATTCCGACATTCGAGCGGCTACGAACACACTGTATATTATGTGTACGCAGCAGACGCGAGTTGATTGCCGCGGGCACACACACACACACACTACACAAACTCACTCACTCACACACGGTTTTAAGCGGCGACATGCTACCTGCGTGTGCGCGTGTTTGAAATCGTTGTTTAAAAAACAAAACAAAAAAAACGCTGGCTCGGTGTCCGGCCTGCTGGCTACCGCTGCACCAGTCGTGGTGGTCTAAACCTCGAGCAACGACGGCTTATGTCAGATAACGATTTTGTTTACATTTTTTTTTATTATTATTGTTATTTTAATATCTTCTTGGTAGGCATACGTTGAATTTTGTGCTTCAGCCGGAATATCGGATTTGCTATTTACTGTTGATTTAGTCAATTATGCTACATATATATATATATATATATTGTATTCGGCGATTATATTATTATACGATTATATTTATATAGGTACTTATATAGTTATTGTTTATGTAATATGTATATTGTGTGCAATACCGATATGAACGAGATACTACTATATATAAGAATTATTTTTATTACACGTCGTAACAATAACAATGCCGCCGAACGCCTATCATGTAATTTATTATGTGCGTTACCCATATATATATATTATATTMTATATTATTATCATATTATACACACGAAAGTTGATGTTATTAGCSAATAGAACATAGGAATAGGTGCTTTGATGACTGCTATAATGACCGGGTGCGGCGACCTATTCGACCGCAAAATTCCTCGTGCCGAAACGAACTCATAGGTGATACATTAAAAAATAAAAATAATAACCCTCGCACGGCCATGCCAATAATAATTATTAATGTCGCCGTGTTCCAACATGAAACAATTTAACTTTACGTCGCCCGCCCAAGAAACGGGATTRTTGAATATTTTTTTATTTCGGGGACTTTCGATAGTCAATGGATGATAGGTRACCGACGTATTGAATTTTAAATATAATATTATGCAAATTATAACATTGGAATATTGAAATGCACGTGCGTATATCCCACTGACCATTCTTTTATAATTAAATTATGAAAAAAAATACGACAGACCGATAATTCCTCCAATTTGGCAGTCACGTGTGTACACGTGCATGGGGTAGCATAGGAAGCAGGTAGATAAAAAAAAGGGGGTTCTATACTTCTATATACCTAAATATGTATACGCGTGGTAAATACAATATATGTGTATTTAGTATATATATAATAAACATAAATATACRGTTAGGTATATACATGCGCGGCAAAACGAAAAGGCTTCAGGTTTTTTTTTAATATTTCTAATTCAATTAAATTCGACCCGTTCTCGTTTTGAGGGGTTACAAAAAGCGAAAAAAAATCAACGGTTCGTAAATAATGCACGATGACAATCGTGCACGGGCAAACCAATTCACATACTCTCACACACACACACACACACACACCGGTTTGTCCGGCTGCGCTAAAAAAATAATAATATAATAATAATTTTTCGTCCCCATACCATTAGCGACCATCACCAATTATGTAACACGAAACCACGATTCATAGTTTATATATATTTTGGTTGCCCATCGTTAAAAATTAAAAAAAAAACCGAACTAAACCGGATAGAACTACATATTTACAAGACACGTCGTAGGTGCCGACCGCAATATCCGATTATTATTTTGTATATTATATTGTTTTATTATTATCATTATTTTTATTCTCGACATCAATATAATATGTATTATTTCTATCAGCGAGTGCACCGTTGCAAAACATCACTCCATATAATGACGTGACTATATTATAATAATGTATATAAATCCGTTTAGGCTTGATATAATATAAATGGACACATATTTTAAATATAGGTGAGGCGTGGCGAACACGAGACGTTCACATTTTTTTTTTCGATTGAAATTAAAACATTAATTCTCGTACTCTTATCTCTTTTTCTCCCGGGTGCATTTTTCGAAAATAACCAGCGTCGGCTAATTGAAACGTGTTGCAAACGATATAGGTGTCTGGTGACAGGTAAAAAGACACTTTTCGGCAGCGAATCGCGTAAAAACGGATTTCTCGTTTTGACGATTATCTCGAACGTCCGTCGCTTATTTAATTTGTATGCTCTTATTTTCAAAATTAAATGTGCATTTTATTTCACACATATACTTACACTGCGGATGAAACGAAAATATCCGAAACAACGTGAAACTCATTTTCACGCAACGACTGTGTAAAAATAGTAATTGTAAATTTAAATTATCATTATACGAATTTCGTCGACGGATATTACAACTACTATAAGGYACAGTGTACAATGTAAGATGTAAGTATAGGTATAGTATTGCTCGGTATGTAGACGCTAGGGGAAATTGATTTTTATTCGAAATGTAAGAAAAAAAACAATTGCAGGTTCACGTACTATTTGTAATATAATTCGTCTGCCTGTTAAAAGAAAACATATTCCTATGCCAGTTGCACTCTCACACGCACTATCTATTAGTAATTAATTTAATTTACCGATAAAACGCAACAACGGAGTCGTACGCGTGCAGCATAAAATATTATATGATATATATATATATATTAATACACGCACATGGGTATATATTTTAATAGGTGTAATTCTACAATGATATGCACACACGCCAGTTAGCATTTGCGCGCCGCACTAATGACTTGCAAGAGTTATATATATTATTTTCCGACGATAATAATAATTATTATAAGTGTTATCACACAGTCGCAGGTGTATAATTTGTTGAGATTCTTAATAGACTTATTTCTCAGATTTTGTTTTTAACGCGATGGGGGTTATCACCACTCGTGTGTTTATTAAAAACTATATACTTAAAAAATTACAGCCGTTTAAAAGGAAAAAATCAACAGTAAGCGAATATCGTAATAATATAATCCAACTAAAACTATTTTCGGCTCTGAACCGATCAGCGACTTTGGACGTTCAATAACGTGGAAGCATCTAATATTATAATATTATAGTAGGTAGAATTTTCGTAACCATTCGTGAACTGAAATACATAATATAATATTATAGTAAAACCGGTCTAATCGTGTTTTATCGCCACATAATACACGTTAGGAAGTAATTACTAATTACGAGAGATGTATATTATCGTATACAATAATGTTATGTACCCATGTATTATAATAATAAATATAATGTATAAGCTATATTATAATATATATTATACTGAAACGTTTCAGTGCACCCAAACAAAACTCGTTTATATATTATACGTATAATGGTTTGGTATACCTACTGCATCATGTAGTCTACATGATACTATGGTAGTAAATTATATTCACAATCGTATACACTATGGTTATTTTTTCCGGCGATTCTTAAAATTGGCGTCGGGGGCGGATACGATCGATATTATTTAAAGAAACACACTGCACTACGATATAATTTTCAGATTATGACTTTTAAATCGGAAGACGAAACAACAACGATAATTCATATATTATTATATATGACGCCTTAATAGGCCATATTCAAGTATTACTAATAAACAATCGAAACTTACCTCTGGGTTTCCGTGGTCCACACTCGACCATCCGAGACCGTCTCTACCTTTGTTCACGCCCCGCTTCCTACCGCGACCCTGTAACAACAATACGTGCCATGAGCATAACATTCATCTATATATATATATACACGGAGTGATCAGTAGTTGGTGTTACAAAAATGGAAGGGGTAAAACCCAACTCTTATAAATTCCACAACAGTTTTGTAACACGAATTTCTAATCAGTCACCCAGTGTATCTATATATATAAAACAGAAACCAATTAGCGCAAGTAGGTAATAAAAATCACGATATCCGAGATCTGACAACGAAGAGCCCAAGTTATTGAAAAACAATTTCCCAACTAACATGCATTTCTGGAAGATCCAAGTTGCCGTCAGTGTGTAAACTATAGTAACCTAATTGGTTATTATACAAATATTTATAAATAAATATATACTTGTTTGAAACGCCCCGCTTTAGTATATATCGATTTCCATACATGGCAAACATTAGCAAAACAAATTGTGTATGATTTTTCTTTCCGTCCGCTTATATATAATTCATAAGCATCGCGTCTCGTGATTGAATTTTATTACCGATAACTGTTGTTTTGCCTCCACCACCACAACACCAACCTACACCGGTCGAGCGGAAACACTTGTTTTTATTTCTTAGGATGAAAAAACCCCCGAGAAGAAAGAATCAAAATACGAGTCACCCCTTTTTTTAATAATATACAGTGCCTACACAAACAAAAAAAACTTGACCTACACACGCGTGCTCGAGAAGTAATCGAATTCACGCGCACTTGGTGTTCATATTTTGTTTTTTTTCTTTATAAAACGATCGAGCAGAATATATAATATAATATAAGTATAACGTATATACACGACAACACCGACGAATACGACGACGACGTTTTAGGGAATATTAATTCTTCGTCTATTTATACGGTTTTTTTTGGCCGACGGATGCTAATATTTTGGCATCCGCAACGCTCCGCAACGTGGCTGTGCACGTATCCCCAAAAATATAAATATATTATAARCCTATACAACAACAAAAATACGTCGTTTATTTTTTAATGACCAACCTCTCCCCAATATCCACCGTTCAATTAAGTCCCACCAATTTGTCGATATATAAGCGAGTTTATAGGTAGGTATCTGCGTATGTTGCAGTGTGTAAGTGYGTGTGTATGTGTGTATTCCCTGCACGTTCATTACTCCCATCGAGGCGCGAGACCCTCTTTTCGGATTATTGCACAATCGGCGGCGGTTGCGTGCAACATACACACACACAATATAATGCAAGTAAAAATGGAACCTAACCAAAGGGGGTATACACAGGCACACAGCTCACACATACAATCGGGTTTTTTGTGTTTCATTAACCCGCCGCCGCCCTCTCTGGCGATCGAGCCAAAGCGCGCGCGCGAGACGCTCGCCACCGAAAAAAAAGGGTGGAAAAAATAGCCCGGAGGACTATATACTGTTGTGGCCGTCACCCTTTTTTGTCCGTTAGAAAAATCGCCCCTGGAGAGAGGGATCCCCGAGAAGAGGACGTCGACCGCGAGACGACCGAGGTGTTTGGTCACTCCTCATCGTCATATTGCAACGTGTTTAACGAGCGAGGGGGTAAATGGAAAACTACTGCAGCTATTTGTAAGCCTATAAACAACGAATTTTTAGGTTATTTTTAATAATATACAATAGCTCTTTWTGTACACATTTTGTCGTTTGTTAACGATCATAGATTGCAATCACGCAGCAAAAAGACGAACCATTGACGAGCCAAGATGAAATCGCCAATGTCAAAAATTCCCTTGACATTACTATAATATATATACGTRATTCGAGGGGGAAAATAACCACAAATTATGCAACAGAGCGCTTATTATATAATTAGTTGWTTCTCGGTTATATAGGTACATTTCGACCGCTGCGAAGAAATAAAAAAAAAAGAGAATCGTATGCAACTATATAAGTATAATATTTATTCAAGTCGTTAAATTATTATATTATTGGTATTATATACTTTCGATAGAATTCGACCGAAGAGATAAGATTGGTTTCTCACACCTATAGCATACACTTTTGACGAGTGTCTACGTGAAAATAGCAATACGGTGCGCTTAAATTCAGCCAGTATATTATAGGTGTTTATTATGTTACAGAGACATGATGGCGACGCGACGGCGATCGTTGATGAACGTGGGACCCCCTTACGATGACGATAAAACAAATATTTACAGTGGACAAACAATGTATTAAAAACGCGAGCGCGTGGACGACAGCGACACTTGTCAGGTGGTCGCGCACATGCACGTGCAGGCATATAGGTAGGCATATCATGCGTATATTATTCAGGTATAGGTAACGGACAGGAAAATTATCGACGTATTTTGTAGACTATTTGTTTTAGGGGGAAACACGTCGGAGGAGGATGTCACGTCACACGTATATATTATAATATAATATTATGTGCGCATCATGTGTTTGATAATTATAATATTTTTATTATACCGAGCGGAGAAACTGACGAAGCTCATATAGTGATGTGAGGACGACGAGGAGGAGGCAGCCGTGACTGATTCGTCTTGGCAGCGACGACGTGCGTGTACAATTTAACAAACTCGAAGAATGCACATTTTACATGCTAAATCGGCGGCGGCAGTATAGGAGCATTTCACTGTGCAGGATTTACGGTGTGACCCGTTGAACCCCGTCGGTTATATTACATATGACACATAATATTATAATATTAATAAATAGGTATACACCGCAGCAGAAGTCACATATGGTCTGTCTGTTTGTGTGTGTGTGCTCGCATTTCCCCCGCGATCAGTCGACGGAACTAATTTTGAAAATTTGCTACCGTGTTTCCCGTGTAAGCGCGGGATGACGGCGAATTTCCGACTCTCATCGTACGACGGCGACAAACGATATAGATCCTGCTGCAGCCACGCGGCGTAATAAATCCCGGGTTTATGAGCGCTGGTTGATGGGGGTAATATACTCGACATCCGACGATTTCGCCCCCTCGCTAAGGCGTTCTCTTTCTCACGTGGAAGCCGCGTCGGCGGATACATATATAAGACGCATCGGTCGGAGCTTAAGCCGTATAACAATAATGAAATATTCCAATGTACATTGTTACAATATTCATCCACCTTTTGAGGTCTGAGTGGTTTTTTTTTTAATATGGTAAATACGCCGTGCCGCTTTGAGGGAAGTCCACGCCGCCCACGATCGGATACGCATCGATCATCGTCGCCCCGTGCGAGCGAAGTGAACGCGCGTCCATTTGACGTAAAAAGAAAACCGGTTCGCGCAAGCCTTCCGAAAAATAAGTAAGTATACACGAATACAATATTATACGCATAATCGAACACATAACGAGTGTGTGTGCATATTGATATTGAAGACCTATATAAACGAGTTTTTTATACACTATACCTATATACGTATATATATATATTTATATTATATATTCTGTTAATTTCTACCAACAGTTATTATGGCAGATATGCACCGGTTTTATAGACAGACAATAATAATAAAATAATAACTCGTCGATAAGCCGATAAGTATACACGTGTGACACTGTGCTTAATGAAGAGTCCTACCTACATATGATATAATATAAATAGGTACTATATCAGTGGATGATTCGTTGTTTTAATAATTATTTTAACTCATTGGACAGTTTGGTAATGAGAGGTCCAAACTTTGATGAAAAATATTCCATAATTATATTAAATCGTAATTAGGTAAGTAGCTAACCAATATATTGTATGATGAGTACCTATATAATATATAGTGTGATATACAGTCAAATAATTATGAACTATATAGTCCTCRAATAGGTTTTACGATATTAGATATATCTGCACTAGGTAACTAAAATATTCGCATAAAGTTTTGATGAACGTCTTACAACAAAATTCAGCTATTATATCATTTTGCTCACTGCACGTACGTGTATTACCACTCACCTTTTAACAAGGTATATTATAATAATTTGTTATTATTACGCYAGGCATTACTAAAAAGTTTCTGCCGACAAAGGCGGCGGCTGTTATAATAATAATATTATATGGACGACCGACTGTCGTCGCTTTATGTATATTATCCTACGAGGTATATATTGAGGTGTCGCCCGGCAGATGTATATAATAATATATACTTCCCAGTTACCATTCATTTGGCGCGAGCGTGCGTGCGTTAGTCTCTAATAACTTTTAGGTGGGCGACTATAGCCTAATTTGCATATACGTATACATACATATACTTACTACTACTACTAACACACACATAAACACAAATAAGCACACACCCGCACACACACACATACATATTATATATTATACATTTTACATATATACATATAACGTAGCGGGCCTCTTGTATTGCGTGCAACAGTTTTAACATGTTTCAAAACATTTATGCGCGGCCACGAGACCGTGTGCACTGTCATTGTTAGCCCATATGGTTGGTATATTATATATATTTTTTTTTATATTTTGTGCGTGAGAGGAGTCTGTTTTTTATGGTCGTATATTACGAACACGTATAATTATCGTTTTCCCTCTCCCAATATCGCCGCCGCCACTCGTTTCGACCATCCTTTTTGTCTTCGGTCGTCGTGAATTTATTACCGCACACCGGCAGCAGCGGCAGTGGCGCCAAATGATAAAACAAGGACCGTAATAATGTTTAAGTATATTTTTTACTCTTTTCTAGACTACTGGATATGATTACTACAGCGTCGTGTCTACACAACGCCGAGCCACAGGTACCGGCAATGTTATACAGTGGGTTTGTATATAGTGCCTAAACCACGGTTTTAGAAATGAGGATAATAAAATTATTATAATAAGTAAAAATGAAAATTTTCCGAAGATTTATTATTTTTAAGGACGCTGTGACGTAAAAAGCGAAGATTAAGATGTGGCGGCGGGAATGCAATAGTTTAACACCCGCACGGCCGCACGTGGTCGCTTTACAAGGTTACGACGAATGACAATACTCCATTTCCTGAAACCTATTAAATTCGAAATCGGCTAACGAGACTACAACGACGACGACGAAA